CCCACAATCTCCCTCTTTCTTCACCTTATACTGTTTAATTAATTGCAGACATTCATGAAGAACGGACCTCCTTCCCGATTCCCTAGCTTTACAGAGTAAATCAATACCTCTCCATATATTGCTGCTTTTTTTAAACTTCAAACAGAGGGAACAAAGAAACAAACATACATGCACATATACTGCCAAAGTCACATAATTATTACTTGGGTGTGGGTTATTGCAATGCCCACACTTCATTACACAGTATCTAAATGAGATGGAATATCTATAAGTATGTTTTGTTCTGTTAATATTTTAGGGCAATTAGGGCTTACATGTTACTCCACTGTGACTAAACTCATCAAAGTGGGAAGCGGAATTGGCCAAGTGGAAGAAATTGAATTTAGATGACTCATTGAGGCAGTTCTTCCTATAATACAGGACCGAAGAGGTCATTTTCTGAACTACATCCAGCTTCTCAACCCAAAGACTTAATGAAGATTTGAGGATGACAGTGACCAGGTTTGTTTGGAACACCTTTGTCAGTGTAAACAACATGTCTTACTATTAGCTCCATTCTATGAATTTATGTAGGATCAGATTGCTACTAAGACTTCTGAAATAAGGAATCTCCATTTAATTAAATCTCCTACTCTGTGATACTACTACTGAACAGCCGCTCGTTTAGAGGGCAGTCCAAAACTGCTTGATGAGAACGTGGATTGGTGCAGATGGCTTACTGAGTTGCCATAGCTGATCCAAGATAGTCAGTTGTTCAATTGACAAAAGTGTGTAGTGAAATGGGATTAGCTACTAGTCTGCATTTTGTTCAGAAAATAAAAACAGAGCCTTTCAAAATAAGCAAATCCCTTTGAAGTGTTTGTATAGGACAATATTCACTACTCTGCTTAGGGATTCTAGGTGTATGCCTGTATGGCATGTGCCATGATTGAAATACCATTGGGAACTTAGTCTTAGCTTAGGGATATTTTGAGTAGATTGTCATGTTCCTCCTACTGTATGCCCCTTGTATCTTTGTAATGCTACATTTTATCTATTCTTGAAGCAATTATATTATACTTAAAAGAAAAAGATCTATGTGTAGGTGTACATGATAAAACAAAAATGTGTTTCTCAGAGTCAGTATGACCACATGAATAGATTTGAAAACCATATATTGAAGTAAAAATGCAGACAAGTTTATGTGACTAAAACCAAAGTTGTGCATGTTTGTGATGACTTATATGTAATTGACTTGTTGAGACTGACTATTGAAGCGTCTGCATGGTGCCAGCTGATATTGCTTTCGACATTGGTAGGCAAGCGCTCAACTGTCTTCTCAAAAGATTGCTTGGACTCTTTATTAACCTCAACACATTTAACTGACCTGAGAAGAAACATAAATTTAAAGAGGAAAGTTCAGACATGTTATCTTTAGACAAGTTATCAGATTTAAGTTTGTCCTAGAAGATGTGAGAGGGTATTCATCCACAAAGGGGGGGGGGGGGGGAGTATAAAAT